TTTATATATAAAATAATTGAGTCGTCGAATTTTATATCTAGTGTGCGCAAAAATAGCTTTTTAATAAAAATTATGTCCGATTTTCAAATTAAAATCACTCGGAATCTCGATTCTTGTGCTGTAACCCAGAGCGGAAGAGAGAGATGTTTCTCGAATGATTAACAAGTGGTAAAGAAAGGGATATGATTTCCGTATTTTGTTATAGACGCACGACTAGTCTGTTTTCTTTGATTTTGTTTATCTCTGGTCAGGTTTGGATTAGTTAGGCTAACTTATTACAAACAGAATGAAAGAAAAACAGGTAAAAATTAATGACAGTGGGAATATCTGATAGTGACATGGGCATCTATAATGGAGTGAGTTCGATATAAAAGTTTCCAAATAATTTCGGTCAATTTTATATTACTAACAATTGATAGTTAAAATAAGTTTTATTATATGATAAATGAGAACGACAAGCACGATAAGAACCATTAATAAATAAAGACGATTTTTTTTTCAATTGTTGTTACTTTAAAATCGGGCGACAATTTTTTGGACACCCTGTATAGGGTTTTATGTCGATCGTACTTCATCTTCGTGAGCTACCGTAACTATCAAAGTTTGGTTTTGTTATACGCCGTCGAAAATCGTCAGCTACGAAAATTTTACAAATTGCTCAAAAGCCTATATTTTAAATCCGACGCTCTCACTAACTTCGTGTTATTAGCAATCATGTCTCTATTTACCTGGCGACTACGCGTACCATCGAAACCCCCATTGTGCGTTATTTTCTCATAATTGAAGATCGTGACGCCATTGTTCAGTCACTGAGCTCGATGACTAAACTGACGTCTACTGATATTCGGTGTTGTCCGCTGTCTCGCATTCTAGTGCTTTCCCAGGCAGAAGTCAGCTGGCGGGTCTGTACTTTGTGATATTAGTCGCGCTGTTATGTAAAGATAGTTCTGTTTATACACGGCAACTTTTTAAAGTTATCAGTTAACAATAATACCTTACTTTTTATTATATAGCTTCAGTCGTAAGTGCCCGCTTTTTCAGTTTATACATTCTTCACATTTTCAGATAAGCCAAAATATAAACTACTTAATACTGTGAGTGATTAGGTGAGTGAACACGTACCACTTCTTCTTGGCAAAACCCTTCATCTTGTATACATTCAGTACGTTTTAAACCTTATCTAAAGTTTTATTTGCTCTCCTGATTTCATAATCAGTTTTTATTTATTTTTTTTACCAATCATTTTATTGTTATGCTGATTATGGAGTCGAAATAAACTTATACTTATACACTCAGCCTGTCAACCCTGATACAAAAATCTAATATGATTAGGCCAATTCACCTCGTTTGTTTTGGGGCATAAATACCAGAAGGTATTAATGTAACAAACATGCTTATTCCTGTATTCTGTTTTTACCTCAAGTAAAACATTTACTTAGACTACTAGGTTAGAGCTATATGAGCATATTAGTCTTTAAAGCAAATCCAAATACAGCTGAAATTAGTTAGGATTAGACTATATCATTTAGCTTTTCAATCATTCAGCTATGTTGTTTGTTGCGAAGGAGTTGTCAAAATAAATTACTGCACATACTGACATAGCTAGAAGACTTCACCTGTCTGCCTGTGGGTATCATAACTTGTTTTAATCTACTGATCTAGTCCATGTTGGTATGATTTGACCTTATCTTAACCAGGAACTGCTAAAATGTGTCATGACATCTTTGTGTCATCTTTGCCAATTGTAAAGTCATTATTCTGGCAAGTTGAGCTTCAATGATTTTCAGTCATGAATAAATCTAATCTAAACTGTATTAACCAAGTTAGCCTGTACATTTGATATTCTTCATAGATCTGTGAACCAGCCTACATTTACAACTAATTTAAATCTTAGAAAATGAAGAAATTATACCATGATTTCATAGTTTCCTACGCGATTAAGATGAGTAATTTCATAATTCAGAGTTCATTTCTTTTGCTCAACTCGAAATCCTGATATGACTGTCCCAGAAGTCAGTGCAGCTCAATTGCAATGTCTTAATCGAAGCTTTTAGCAAACTGCAACCCCTTGTTAATGTATTGTTGCCTAACTGACTGAATTAAAGTATCTTGAATTGTAAGTGGTATTTTTATTGGGAGCGTTGTGCAATTATCGAAGACAGCCATAGACAACTGTGAACACTCTGTAACTGTAAGATAGAGTTTAATATGTATTGTATTGAATCTTGGTAGAGTTACGTATATGTAGTTAAAGCTTTAGAGGTTCGAAAGCCCCCCAATAGCTTTGTCTTTATAGTAAACACTTCCCTATTGATTGTAGTGAAAATAATACCACTCTATGAAATTTCAGAAATGACACAGGTGAGCTGAATATTCTAATCGAAAGTCAGAACAGGATATGCAGGATTTTTCAAAGATTGTTTCACTCCCACATGTTATTATAGTGCACAATTGTGACTAATTTAGCCTGAAATAAAAACAAAAACTAAGTTGATATGCAGTGGGGGAGTATCCTTGGAAGTTTTTGTTGTGACCTTCTGGAATTTCCAAAATGTAATCTAAATTTATAATATCAGTGGAATGAATATCAAAATCTTAGACCTTCTCTAAGGTTATTATAGCCTATGAATGGGCCATAGTTGATAGGATGAGAGACATGGATAAATTGTCATAGTAATTATCGTTATATGCTTGTCACATGTGGGGTTTTGTCTTGTCAGATTATGATATGCCTGTTCGAAACTGCATGTTTTTTTTTGTCTTTGAAAGGCAGACAGTTGACAACCGATGTGGGTTCATAGGATCGCATCACATATAAAGGTCAAGTATTTTATGGGTTGTTAGGTTCTATTTTAGGCAGTTTCTGGTTTTAGCTGGGTTTTTTAATAAAATATCATTGTGTCATCATATTTTTGCAAACACAGTGGACCTATGGATCGTTTTGCTAACATGTTGGTATTTTTATTCCTGTTATGAAAAAATCGCTTTTTCCGTTCACTCATGAAAATTTTTTGTGGTTAAATATTGTATTTTTTTAAATTTTGGATATCCTACACAATATTCTATAACCATAGATGGCTAAAACTGAACTGAATCTGCTATTAGGTCCCAAATAAATTTTGAATACTCATCAATTACCACATAAAAGTCAAGTTTGAGGATGGAAAGTTAAAATACAAACATTTTTTGATTGGTTTTTTAATTTCCCTACTGTTTACACAGATGCATTTTTGGCCAATCTATAAAATTAATTTGGAATGATAATTTTGTAAAATAAAACTATTATCATTTATTTCTGAAATCAAGAATTTGAAATATTCGATACACTAAATGTCAAATCAATTCGTATTGTCTTAGTCATACCTCTCCACAGAGGTGTAGCCAGTAATTTTGAAAACGGGGTTCTGAAATATCTAATTGCCAAGTTAGACCGTATCAGCTGGCGGGTCCGGCCAGAGTTTTGTGGGGCCAAAAGTGTTTCAAGCTATGGAAAATTGGTATGTAAAAAAATTCTTTTTTTTTTCATTTTTTAAAAGGGGAGATTCCGGCCCACAAACTCCTTTTAGGAATGCCTCTCGCTTCTCTTTCACAATGGGATTGGTTATCTTTATGCGCTTTTTTGATTTCAATTTGTTGTTGTCATGAAATTTAGTATTACTGATATTTATTTAAATTTCAAACTTAATTAATTTCACACTTATCAGCACAAATTAAAATATTTTATATGTTGGCATGGTTTTAATCACTGTATGAAATTCAGACTTTCATATCCTAATAACTAATTTTATATCAGAAAGGATTCAATTTCAACTTTATTTAGATAACTCAAAAATCGGGGAAATATGGCACCAAAATTCAACTCAATGTTATATTTAACCTGTGTTTACTAGTTTGGCCCTGGTCTGCCACAGTAATAACACTAGTTTGAACTGAGCCTGGCCAAGTCTGACCTTTTTCTGCACTGATTTAGTGAGGTTATAATTTGCATATAAGTCTACAGATCTCTCATTTTCCCTTCTTTCAGAGACGGCACACCAATTTTTCTTTGCTCTCTCATATTTGCGGCCTTTTTCTGGTTTTGAAGTAAATTTTACTGAATTCTATATATCTCAAGTCAGTTGGTTTATGACACAGCCAAGATAGGAGAGCACCAATGCGTTTCTTGTTCAGGCCAATTTATAAATAGAAACTTTTCTATCTCTTAGTAATGGTACTGTCAGTTTATAAATTCTAGAATAACAGGCAGAGAAATATACAGCCAGAAATCAAATATTTTTGACTTAATATAATATGTCTGTTACAAGTTTTTTTTCCTAAATTCAAAAGTCATTTTGTTTGAATATAAAGATGGTCATAACAGCATAACAAAATCAGAGGAATGTAATATATATCAGATTTATATACAGTTGCTAGCTATCTCTGTAGTTATAGTATGATATCATATAAAGGTTCAGCAATTTCAAGATAGTTTTTTTGTCTGTATCTATTTTTTTAGTTTGATTTAGTTCTCATAGAGCAGGACATACAACAGCTTCTAAAATTGTAAAATGTCTAAATAATGATCAATATAGTTTGAGATATTTTAGTCAATTTGAAAGATACAGAATGCACTTTGTTCTGAATTGTTTTTTCAATTATTTAATTTCTACAATATAATAATAATTTTTAGCTAAATTTAATATTGGTTTGAAAAAGGCTTGAAAATGTTATTGATACCCACAGCACGAAGGCTTAGAAAAGGAGGTTCAGTCACAATAAAATGGCAATAAAAGTGAAACCGAGTCTAATTTGGGAGTACTCACCCAGGGATGTAATATACTGGTAAATGAAATTCAAAATTATTGCTTTTCATAGAATTTTTGAAAAATAAGTCTTTTAGAATATTCAGAATCAAAATGGTGGCAATGAGATTTAAAATAAAAAAATTTAGGAATATAAATATTTCTAGTGTATGTGTTCTAATTTTTGGGAGAGAAACTCATTATCTGAAAATTATGACTTGGATTTTTTTTTTAAGATTTTTAATGAATATAGTTAAAAGTTAATAAGTTTGTTGCTAGTTAAGGATGGTTGGAGTAGAACCGCTAGAAACGAGTGGGGGAGAAAAACATTCCTCAGAAAAAATAGAAGACGGTGAAAAAGATACTCAAATAGGTGGAAACGCAGACAGCGGATACCACAGTTTTAGTTGTTCTTCAACTTGCTGTTGTCAGAAGGAAACTGCTAAAATGATTACAACGTCTCTCGGACACGACGAAGATTTTTCACCCCCCACAATGGGGCAGGGATTTACTACTAAAGGATACCCCCCAAGGACGTTGTATCCAACTAGACCCATGGGTGATATAAACGTTATTTCTGAACGCGCTTACAATAGTTTACCAGACGCAAGTCTGTATTCCTCAAAGTTATTGGAAAAAGACTCGAAAAAAAGTAGGGAAGAGGAAGCAGTTGAACTGGCAGAAAAAATATCATTTTGTTTAAAACTTGGGTATACCCCGAATCAAGTTAAAACTATATTAAAAGAGATCGGGCACAATGCGTCTAAAAATGATATTCTTTCTGCGTTGGGAGATTACGCAAATTCAAGCACAGCCATCCTGGACACTGATACCTATGTAAGTACAATTTTTTTGACATAATGTTGGTGTTTGAAGGTGCCTTAAAAAAAAACTTTTCAAATAGTTTTATCAATAACTTTCTCTTTTAAGTTGTTAATAGCTCATTTTACAAAATTTAATATTTATCTCTACTCTGTATCTATCACTTAAAAAATCATATTGCTTCCGATATAATATTTTAATATTCTACATGGAATTTCAAACAACAGTTGAATTAAAAAAAATTAAAATACGGGAATAATATTTTTGTGACTAATATCAGGTTTTACTAAGCTTTTAATAAAAGAAAAATATTTATTTTGACCATCACGAACTTAGAGAATTTTCTAATTTTTAATATACAGTGGATAGTTTTTTGTCATTTTCATTTGAGCTGAATTATTTTAACAACACAAAAAAACAAATTTTATTTCATCCCAGACTGAAAGCGGCCAGATCTTAGACTCAAGCGGTCAAAGATCTTCTGAATTGGTTCCGCGCGGACCTTCGACCGTTGAAGATGACAATAAAGAAGATGAATCGAGTGCGAGCGACAACTTGCGACCGATTGTCATTGATGGCAGTAACGTAGCAATGAGGTGAGATAGATAAAATTTGCCAAAATATCATCTAGTGACAAATTTGTTAAAATATATAGAGTTATTAATTATTCAAATAGTTATAGGGGATAGGCCAAGAGAGAGTAATTGAGAAAAATCACTTTCTATTTTTTTAAGTTACATTTAGCTCCACCTGGCTTTCAAAATTTGAAATTTGAAAAACCTATTCTAAATAAATTTGAATTCACTGTTATTCTAAGGGCAGATAATAAAATTTTTCATAAACCTATTCATTTTTAGGCATAAAATATGATTTTTCTGAGATGGCCATTATTAAATTTATTTTCACAATTTCTTTTATTTTAGTCATGGAAACAAAGAATATTTCTCATGCAAAGGAATTCAACTGACGGTGCAATATTTTCTTGATAGAGGGCATAGGGATATAACTGTTTTTGTACCCAAGTACAGAAAAGAGCAAACCAGACCTGACGCCCCAATAAAAGGTTGGTTTTCCATATCATATATTGCCATATTTTGCATATTAAAAACTTGTCGCAATCGGTATTTACAAACACGTCATTTTTGTGATCACTTGTTGCTTTTGCTCTGAAATCATTCTCTTCAATTTTTTAGTGACTTTCTGTGACTTTGCTCTGAGCAAATTTCTCATAAAAAAAATCCGTTCTAATATCTTGTGGGATAATTAGGGACCATAACCTGTCAGCTAAGTAACTAACGGCCCTGGTCAGGTACTTATCATCGCATATTAAAGGTACAACACTTAGCAGGGAGGAGCCTATTAAATGACTGAAACTCTTTTTGTGATGAAAGTTTGAGAATCACAGTACAAGTATTTTGAATGTCCTGAATACTTATGACTTACATAGCATATGTTTAATAGACTAGTTGAAAAAAAAAAATTATTACATGATTAGATATTGCTACTGTACCAAAGATAGCCTAATCTAAGATACCTATAGTTAAATAGTCAAAAGTTGAAAGAATGTATATTGAGGGTAAAATCTTTTTAAAAATAATTGAACTGTATGTCCTTTGTGCAATAATCTTTTCAATTTGAGATCTGCATTGAAAGGGTGGGCAAAATCCCTTTGAGAATATGAAAATAATAACCAGATGGGCAATATGAACTGCATGTCCTTTGTGACCGTTCACAATAATGTTTTCAATTCGAGCACTGCATTTTTGTGCCTGGGGATCGATAACAACACCTCATTTGCATACTAGTTCTGAATAAGCTGTTAAAAATGCGAGCAATAATTTGAGGCATAGTCAAGCATGGCATTGGCATTGGTTATATAAAATATGTATAGTTTATGTATGGACCGGACTTAAAATTTGATTTTGTAATGTGATAGGGCTGACAATGATTTATATCAAGAAGAAACCCTTTTTAAATATTTATTTCACTTACCGGTACATCTTTTATTTTGACTTTATTTTAGGATTTCAGTATTTATTTTCAGATTTCAGCCAATAAAACAATCATAATATAGAAATTCTATATTCATAATAACTCATATTTGGCTAGCAGGAATTGGTAGTTTATTTTGTCACTGTGCTGTAAATATGAACTGAACATACAAAATGTAAAAATAAAGGGTGGGTGATACCTCATGTTATGTGGTGGTTTACAGAGCCAGTGTTCAGTTACAGCTTTCTCAACCATCAAGTCTTTGTATCGGATACAAATAACTGGTTAACTAATCCTGTATCCGACATGGACTGGTAACTCGACAAGAGACTGTGGTTGCCCTATTATGATTGAGCATCTTATCATTTTCCTACAGAAATAAATATGTAAATCTTGTCATAAAATAGCCTAGTTGTATGAGGAACCACGAGCGATTGTCTAGCTATCATTCCCAGACAACTTATTTTCAAAAAGTGGGTCTTATTTATTTGTCTTCTTTGTTACTCTCTCAAACTTCCCGAGCACCCCATTTGAATATAGTATAACCAGTATCTTGTTTACTCTAGCGTTAGTCATGTTACCCCAGTGCCCCTGATTTGTATGGCATTTCACAGCAAACAACAATCCCTTAGTCCTGTTTTTTAAATAAATGACTCATTGCTTTATCAGGCATCCATTAATCATGTTTGCTCAATGATTTATGGTGTAGAAACTTTAGTATCAATTTGTGTAGGGTTACACTATTTTGTGAAATAAGAATTTAATGATAGCACTTTTGAAGGCTTTTTGGGTAATCAAAATTCCTTATACCTTAGTGAAATTTGTAATAGAATAAGATTTTTCTTTTATCAAGTTTTCAAAATAAAAAGAATTGAAAAATGGCAAAATAATGAAATATAATTTGTTTGGGACAATATTATGAGATGAATTTTTTGGACTAAAATAAAAATTAAATTTTTTTTTGAATATTTGAATTCCTATTTCAGTCAGTATCTTTATCTTGAAAATTCTATCAAATATTTCATTATTGAAGTTTGACCAAAGCAAGGTTTTGGGCTCCCATGATGAAGTATTGACTGAGGGCTGATATTTTTCGTTATCTTGTTGAACTAATTTTTGAAACATGAATACTAGTTTCAGACCATTAATATTATCAGTCTACTATGTCGTAATACTCAACGGAAGTTTCGAGATGGAACACAAAGTAATTAAATAAAAAGAGGAACACATTCTTCTGTGATGTAATAATACTTTATTGTCTTTATACACGGGCAAGCTTGGCCATTGGTAAATTACTCAATTTACATCTTTACATACAGCTAACGCTTGGTAATCAATATGCCTTTATTCTTTGTGTGATGCGGAGATTAATAAGATTTCTGTTTGCTTATGTCCTTGAAAGACTTGTGGTTCTGCTTTCGTCCCTGATCCCCTATAGGTGTACTAGTGAAGGTGGTTCTATGGAGGTTGTAACTGGGTGTGTACATGGAATTTCTAGAAAGGTTTGAATGTCTATTTTGGAATTGCGCAATATGTTGAGGTTCCAATTTCATAAGTTTGCTCATTTTAAAAAATATTCAGCTTGGGTCTGTTTCTCTATAAATTGCCCTGTAATCAAATGATATTTCTGTTAAATAATGATATATTTTACTTCAATTATAACTATTTCTCTTCCTCTTATAATTTTATAATATATTTCTTATAATATACACATATTTCTTAGTTTAGTTTTCACTGCATTTAGGTAATATTTGCATGTTGAATTGGCAAGCATATAGAATATGCTTAGTTTTTTTTTTCATTGAAATTCCATATGGGAAATATTATTGATTTATTAGATCCTCTACTTCACAATATGAGGAAGTAATGCCTTTGTTTTTCATGTTTCATAATACTGTTACTTCACAATGCTGCCTCCTCTTGTCATTGTTTTCTCACAATAAGTTCCATGCACATGTTTCTCAGAAGCCTTCAGAAACGCAGCGTCAGTTTGAATCGAAATAAATGTGGAATTGAACTAAAATAAGTTGGAAAAGCCCCCCCAGGGCAGAGCGTTGTGCATAATTAAAATCAGTGTTCCTATTGATTATTTCCTGATTCTAGTTGCCGAATGGAATAAATTTGTTTTTTAGAATTTTTTTTGTCAAAAAATCGATTTAATTTCATTGACAAATTAGTTCAGTTTTCAAATTTATTTCATGAAACTCTTCAAAAGGTATTCACTAATTCTTCAATCTCAGTATACATCATGGTATTTGGTGTTGCTTGTAGTTCCACCCAGAGATGAGTCTTCTTTATTATTAGCAAATTTTTCTATGGAAAAATGATTTAAATTTTTGTCTTACTCTTTGTTATAAGTTTTTTTTGAGGGGGGTAAACTTCTACCCAAATAAATTCCTTGTACCTATATTTTGTATAATTAACAAAAAGTTATACCACATTAAACATATTTATATATTTTTTTAATTGCTTTCAGATCAAGACATCTTGACAAAACTTCATGCGGATAAAATCTTAGTCTGGACACCATCAAGACATGTCAGCGGCCGAAGAATAACCTGCTATGATGACCGATTTATTTTGAAATTAGCTGAGGTATGGTGCCTATCGAAAGCAACTTTACAATTGATTTCTGTCGCAATGAGAAGTTCTTTTTTTATGCAAATTTTGGCAAGACAGAAATGCATAAAAAAATTAGTAATTTTTCGCTATAATTCATGGAATATAATTTTGTTTTGCAGATGACACAAGGAGTCATAGTCAGTAATGATAACTTCAGAGATCTGCAGAATGAAAAACCAGAATGGCGAGAGATTATTGAAAAGCGTCTCCTAATGTATTCATTTGTTAATGACAGGTATGGATAGTCATATTGAAATTGCTTTATATTAGGGTGGTTCACGTAACAGTTGGTCGGTTAGGGCTTTCTCCACCATCAAGTCCATGCATCTGAAAACATAAAACTTGCCTAATTCTATACTCGACATGAACTGGTAACCGAACGAGAGGCCGTGGTTCGCCAAATGATTAGGCAGTCTTATCAGCTTTCCTTTCCCCGGGATAGATATGTAAATCTCATCCTATCTTAGGATTCTGATTAGTAAATGACATAATTTAACAAGTAAATTTGATATAAAACACAAAAAAAAAACAGAAAAAAGATTAGTTTCAAATATCCATATTCTTTTATACTCTTGCTCTAAGCAAGGCCATGTATAAGCGGTCACTGAAATGTAAAGACCTACTATCTTAGGAATCCTGAAAACCTGAAATAAATACATAATTAGGTCCAATGCCTTCACCACCAGGAATCACACCTATTATTAACATTGTTAATAGCTTAATTTTTAATTATCTCCAACTTTAACTTATGTTTATATCTAATATTTATTTCTGTAGGTTTATGCCTCCTGATGATCCACTTGGGCGTAACGGTCCAAGCCTTGATAACTTTTTACGTCTCCGACCTCCCACGGAAGAGAAAAAACGGTGCCCTTATGGTAAGTACTTGTCTTATTTTAATATCGTCTTTACTTCTTTAAAAATTATAAGCTAAAGTTACAGGTTTTTGATTCTTGTCATGGCATCCCAGCTGCACCCATTACCCAATATATACTCTATATATCTTATACTTACTATATCAGCAATTTAGCAATAACATGGGCAACTGAATTAGACTCATTTCATTATTAATTTTTCGGGAGCCCCAATTTTTCCCCTCCAAGTACCATATATAAGGTGTCCATAAAGTCTTAATTTTTTTTTAAATTGCAAAGGGAATTTATGGATATCATATATTGTTTTGGCCCTCACACAAGATGTATTAAATGAAGTGAAAATACCTGAACAATTACTGATTAAAAAGGAACAAACCTGATTAAGATATATTTTTGAGAATTGACTTCATAACAAAATTGAAATTGTAAAAGGACTTTATGGACACCCTGTATATCTTTGAATGCATACCTAGAGCTTAAGAAAAAATACCACACCACTAAATACATTTTAAATTTCTTTCAGCTGAAAAATGCACTTATGGTAAAAAGTGTAAATTTTTTCATCCGGAGTGCTCGTTCCCGCAACGTTCTGTGAGTGAACAAATCAAAGAACGCTCGCCGAATAGCGCGTCAATTCAAAGACTAACTTATGACATTTTAAAAGACTCACAGAGGACTACAAGCCCACAGACAAATACCGGTGCTCAACTAAATAAGGTGTGTAGCTTTTTAAATTTAAAAACATGAAATTATCAATTTTCTACTTCATTAATATAATCTTTGCCATATTGCATAGCTCGCACCAAACCATATTTATTCTTATGCTCTTTCATTCCAATCAGTAGAAAGCACTAAATTGAATTGCGTAGGAAATGCCTCTTGAAACTTGTAGCTGATTCAATATCAGTCGCTGCTTGTTTATTTTTAATGAATTCAGAAGTTTTGATTAATTTTATTTAAATAATTTAGGTCAGCAAGCCATCAGATTTAACTCCTAAAGGCCAGGAAGAAGGAGCTCGTGGGACCCCGTCACCATCATCTATGGGTGCTTGTGGGGGCTCATCATCGAGTAACCCCCATCAAACCCCATCTTTACCTAACATGACTGCTGTCACATCTGAAATGCAGGCAATAAAATTGGGGCCTTATAATGGTTACCCACAAAGTGGGGGTTACCCTACATACCCTTTCAACGAAAATAACTCCCATTCAACTGGTGCTGAACAGCAAAATGCAAACCCAATGCAGCCTGGAATAGGACATTTAGCCCCACCATCTTTGCACAGTCAGACGAGGCGTAATGTTGCGTCTTCTGCTATTCATCAACAACACCCCCATTTGGCAACAATGAACATGCCCCATAGTTCACCCCCCGCTGTCATGTATGACAGAAGCTACCTGGGACAACAAACTGGAGCAATGGGGGGCTTCAACAACATGACTTACCCCAGTTTTCATCAGCAGCAAGTCCCCCCACTACCCCAATATCCTCCCCAACCCCCGTACCCTCAAAATCATGACGCTATGATGCAGTGGCACCAAGCTATGATGCAGCATCATATGCTGATGAGCCAGATGGGCAGTATGCAATCTCACGCCAACTCCCAACCTCACATGGGTTATCAATATGGGTTTCCCCAGTCACGGCTCCCTATGATGCCCCCTACAAGCCTTTCAAACCCAAATAATTTACCAAATTCTGGTAACCGCATGGTACCACATATGGGTGGGCGTGACCCCATTTATGAAAATGCTAACAGACAACCATACTCGTCCCCTGTACCCCTCAATCACCAACAAAACCTAATTCAAAGACAAGTACACCCCCAGTTACCCCCAATACAACAAAACTCTGTCCCACAAGGACCTTCTTTTACCGATCCCTCGAACCCACGTTACAATTTATTTAAAAACTTATGCGGATTGTTCAATCGAAACACAGTGGAACGAGTCATGAAGCAAAACCCGAATGAAAACGATGCGAAAACCCTCGCTAAAATGTGCCTGGACATGGACAACTAATAAAAAAAAATGTCTAATCAAAATGGACAATATCGAGGGCTTCTCCATGACAGAGAACGCCTTATAAAAAGTCTTTCGTGCAAATACAAGACAGTACCCTCTCCCTGATGTAGAAAGTGCCGCATCTCGGTGACTTTACGCGGAGTGGAAAGCACTCCAGGTCCGCAGAAATATCACCATTGTCTGTGAATTTTTCTTCCGTAATGGGAATTATACATCGACAATTAAGCGACGTCTTTTGATGAAGAATTTCGTCAACTGAAAAGTATTTGTTACCATATAAGGTGAGCGGAGAAGTATGGGAATATGAAATAGCCAAACCCGCCCGTAGTTTTGTATCAGTAGTACGGGAAGCAATACCGTACACCGTCGTGTTATGTTAGTTTTGTATGTGCTGGCTGTAAATTGTGATATTTTTATAAAGCGAGAGAATTATGTATGGTTTTATAGAAAATATTTAGGTATCTTACGAAGTTTTATTATGGCGTTGATTTTAAAATTGGTAGTTGAATGCTATTCTTAAACAAATAAAATTGGTTCTAAATTTTTAAGAAAAAGGGCGAAATTTCCAATATATTTTTTAATTTTAAATCACAACAAAATTACGAAGAATAATTGTATGAATCATGCCACTCACTATGTTAGAAATAAGTACTTTATTATTTATGTTTACTAGCAAGAAGTTCAACATAGATCATTGAAGCCTTATTTTACCTTGTTTTTTTATTAAAGTAGCAAAGTATTGTGTTGAAAAGCCGTAATTATTTCTTGTAATCCCCTTTAATAATAATTTTTTTTAAGTCCAACTCCCTGTTTTGGTAAATTTTTACCGCTGAAAATTCGACAATTTTTTCGATAGTCCTCTGTTATTAAATTTTTATATGCCGCCGCCTTTGTATTTCTGACAATTTTGATATTAGGCTGTAAGGACAAAAATTTTTGACAATCCCCTCGGTCATTTTTATGCCGTCGCATTTTAATTCGAACAGCCTTATATCAGTCAATTATTCAATTATTTTTTCCTGTTTTGGTTTTTAGGCTCGATTTTTTTTTAATAACCCAATCCTCCCGTTGTCAATATTTTCACGTCGTATTGGCTCAATTCGCTATCTCGAAACTACCATTTCGGTAAATTGATTTATATTTTTTGACAAGGTTTCTGAATTTTTTAAACCGTCGCGTTTTTATTCGCATACATCACTAATTCGGGCTTGTGATTTACCAGTAAATTGTTTTTTAGTAAACCCGATAGAGTTGAAAGATTTTGCATACAAAATTCAAACGTCCTGTGTGATGATTTGCTATAACGCGGACGTTTACGAAATGACCTCATTATATCACCAGTAATACGCATAAATTTGAATACTGGTTTGCCACCGCGTTTAATCGATATGTCAAAATTGGATGCAAATTTCTGCTTTTCACGTCCCTTATCTGAGCTACATGTTTGCTAAACGTAAGAGAACTACCATACTTAATACAGTAATAAACCTGGCTTATTTAGTCACATTTATCCCCGAAACACGCTTGAAAAAATATATTTCAATTGTGAAAATTTTGTTTGCAAAACTTATCGATTCAAATAAACCATTTTACTACAAACTTATTCAAATGAAAATAATTGCCTCTCAGTTTTTGTTGTTAATATTCAAAATTTCAATTTCGGTAAACACTTAACGTCCGCTACATGTAAATTATACATAAGATCTAGAATTACATGAGTTTCGTTTGCATTCAAGAAACGAAATAAATTTCCAAATTATCGTTTAGTTTGAATTATTAAGAGTACTTAATCTTGGTTGTGACGTGACAATTATTGTCTTCAGTTTCGGGAAAATGCCGTCTGCTAGTTTCATTTTTGTCACCGACGTTATTTTTTAATCACAGAAATATTTAAATTAGCTAATAAAATCCGGAGTTTTCTCTTAATTGAATATATAACCATTTTCTTGACTGAAGTCATTTGTCCAATCTTACGCGTATAATAGCCCTCGTTTTTCGGTTTCGCTTTTTGTAAAATCGTAACTTAACGACCCTTCGTTGGGTATTCAAGAATTTTGTCCAGTAATCAATTTCAAGCGACAGTAAAGATTTTATATGTTATGTAAAAATTAATGTTTGTGTGCGTTATTCCATTAGCGATTAAGTCTATTTTTATATACCATAGGTCGAACATGTTACGTTATATTTGCATGCAGAAGCCTGTATTGCTAAATTGGCTTTCAGCTAATGTCAATCGAAATAAAACGGCACTTCGACTATATAATGGATTCTACTTCAAACCGCGTTTCTGTATTCTCGTGAGGCCTGTGTTCGTTCAATACGAGAGGAATGCGGACCATTATCTTTATGTCGAGAAAATTTGCATTTTACTTCGCTATATTCGTCGCCCGTCTCATTTGAATACTAGTTTTAGGGCCACACAGACCTGCGTTACGCGATAGACACTCGCTGTTACAAAATGAATTGAAATTTATCGCTTTTTACCGTAATTTGATACCGGAACCCTATATTAATATACTGCATGGATAACTCATTAAACGAGCAATGTCGACGAAGCTTCAATGCGGATTAAAAGTGCTTCAGATTTTACGTACACTCTCATGTCTTTTGAGATATGAAAAGTCGTATCTTTTCTGTTTGCATTTCGCATGTATTTTCGGGGAAAATTTCCTAATCCGATATCGTACATATTTCACGCTCCAACTGTTTGTTATTTCGATGTTCAAATTACCCACTTGAGCGCCGTATGTTAGCGTTTGGAAAATATGTAATTTCTGATGACATTTGCATTTGACCAATTTTAGCCATAAAACGCACCATACTTTTGATTCATTCGTATGTGACGTCACACATCACGCCCTTTAAAATGAGTCTACCTACAAATTGTTAACTCAACAATATGGCTTTATGACATGTTCCACGATCCTATTGTTACGTCATAATACTTTAAAATGGAAATTATTAAGATGTACTAAGTCACGTCGAACTATTGGAAAGTACCTACAATTCAATTCTTGTCTGGCCGTGCATAAACAGCACGTAAATAATGTAATTTATGTGTATATCATGTATAATTGTACGATCATTCTCATGAATCAGCGTATATTTTAAATTGATGATTTTCATATCATATTTTGTTTCAAAAACCTCGGACGTCACCCGAAAAGGAAACTTTTAAAATTTCTAAAAATGACGTTTTCGGGTATCGTTTAATTGGCAATAAGGACTCCTTACTATGAATCAATTTCGATCATAATTATGATGCCCATATCTAGATGTCAGAACTCTAGTGTTTACGCGTTTTAAGATCTGAGATCCGAATTTTGATATTTTAGTCATCTAAAATAAATAACTGTTTGGAAATATTAGTAAAATGGCATATTTTAAAGACTAAAATCGATAGTTCGCTTTTTAAAATTCACTAAATATATCTTCCTCAAGTTTCATTTGAACTAAGTGTTTTGATATAGGTACACATTCTCCATATAAATTACTAGGAAATATGTTTCGGTTGATCAATTTATTCGCTGTAATTATATTAGGTCACCAATGAGTATAGAAAATGTTCAAATCTGTGTATGTGGTCGTACGAGGAACATTTCGCTCGGTTTCTATTGTATGCCGTTTGTAGTTTCCATTGTGGCAGCAGTGCTCAGTTTCATATTACGATAATTACTTTAAATTTTCCATGACTTGGTGTAATAATTATTATTCTTTGCAAGCGAAAGACGTTTATGTATGTGACGTCTGCCGAACAACTATACATTGTTTACTTTCCGCGGAATCAAAAAAGAATGACGCACGCGCGTACGTAGACAGGATTGTATTTCAAGCGTAAAAACACGTTTCTTCGGCGTCAGCCGAAGCGGAAATTTTTTTTACAATGCACCAACTTCACGTACGAAAATATTTTTTGTATTAGGTTTGCATCTCTATTTTTGGCAGTATGATGTATAGGTTTTTCAAAGTCGCGCCCAGATTCAGTATTGAAAGCACAAAAACTTTTTATATTTCTTGTTAAATGTACCGCACCCTGTTTACAATCTAAATGTAAACGTTAGTCTATTTGTTGAATCATATTTTGGTCACGCTTCTGGCTTAAAAAATAAAAGCATTTTGTTACAATAATTATCCTCAGTGGAGAAGACTTCGACGTCGCTCAATCGATATTGTGTCGCGGTTATTACCGACCTTTATTCTCCCCGATTTCAGGAGACGAATTTCCTATTAGTCCTATGAAACAATAGGTAATGTAAGAAGAATTTTGCATATAGGATCTGCTGACATGTTTTTGTAGCAATCGAATATTTCCGTGCGAGGGGTTGTTGATCTTCCGCATTGTGAGGCAACAACCGGTTTAGAGATAAACAACCATTGTGAACTAACAATAGATTCAAATTGTCATTGTTTAAATTTTTTGGTTATCTTCGAATTGTTCAGTCGTGACTGGCGGATTGCCAAGCATTTAAATGGTTATATCAGAGAAATACTAATTACAGTAGATGTTAACGCGGTTCAAAATTTTCCTTTTTGGATTATTCGTTCATAATAGGAACCAACAATGGTTTGCGCTTACTATCCATGACTCATAATTCATTATGTAAAATACGATTGTTTTCTTGATCGATATTCACATTTTTCTAATTGCTATTTTATTGCCAGGAATTTTCTTGATATCTAATAAGTAAAATGACCATTTAAAAATGTTGGACTAATGATCTTTGAGTCAAGATTCGATATTTTATTCGTTATGAATTAATTAGGTCCATTACGCTAAATGATAAAATCGTTGTGTTACGGAATATTTGAAAATTCGAAAATGTTGCCAAATCGTTATAGAAATGACTTTGTAAGGGTATTTGGAAATTGTTGCCACAATTTTACTATTATTTATCATGTCCTAATATTGCGTGCAATGGGTAGCTTTATCAGATCGAATGCAAATAATAACGCTTTGTTTTTTACACGTACATGGTGTCAAAAACCCCACGTGTTGTAGGAAGACATCCACGATCCGTAACCGCAAATTTAATACGTGTTCTCAAAAAACAAATTCCCAACTGAAGATTGCACGTTCAATAAACATTATTCTTTCAACGACTTTCCCAGGCGTGCGAATTATATCTCTGAATTGGATAGGGATATTTTTAACGAGTTCGCATTCAAGTTGAAATAGTATGTACATTTATTTAATATTTCAATTTTCAAGGCAATTTCTAAATTTGACAAACTATGTGATCAGTCGTTTTACAAAATTACAGTTCTACAAAATACAGATTAATATGAAATTTGGTATATGTTATTTGATTCAAAGATGTTTTAATTGATTAAATATTCGGTTCAATCGTATTTCTCTTTCACAAATTTTCAATGACAATTGCAGCGACATTGATACTAATTTTAACCGTTCCTGAATTTGAATACAGTTTAACGTCATTTACAGACTACAGTATTTGAATAAAAATTTATGCAAAAATATATACTTAGGATTAGAAATGTCCCTCGTTCCACTGGTTAAAAATAATAATCAAATTCATTAACATACTAGTGTGACGTCACAGACAATATTCGCTGTAAAACGAAATGTCATCTTCTTATTTCAATCGTAAAAAGTTTGAAAATGCAAATTTAACATATTGTAAAATCATTTTAAATTTATAATGCAAATTATCACCGTTTGCGCCATTCTATAATTAAATTATCGTTTTTATTCAGATTTTAAGCGCCTTTCTTCTATTGCCTAGTATTGAATTTAAAGTATTATAAATACCTGTACCGTGCTAGACACTGTTCTCTGAATATACCTATATTTTTGGCTCATTTAAACAAATGTAATACGATTTTGTTAAACGCACGCTATCACGTTCAGCGTTTATAAACCTTTAGCCTATATTTTAACTCGTTTAGGCTAATTAGTGTGACGTCATACAAGACTGATGACATTTCATGAATAAATTAGGGTATATCGCTCGCTGTTTTTTTTTTATTTTAAAAAATAGCCCGTTAGAATTTTTGTCAAAATTAGAAATCGATACTGAATTTCGGAGTACGGTAGAAGGTTGAAAGCGTGGCTCTTGTAAGCTAAGATTCTAACTTCTTTACAGATGGAGCTAAAGCTGTATTTATGGAAAAACT